GAGCCACACCATAGCCTCACTGGGTCAAAAAAGCCTTCAGAGGGTGGAAATAAATGAGACCAAATCATAGATCCAGGAGTTATGCTACTTATGCTGGATCAAGATTTCTCTAGTATGGCTGACTACTGACTGAAGTGGGGGTGAGTGTTAAATGGATGAGATGGACAGAAAATAAGGTTGAGGACAGTTCTATAAAGCCAGGGGCAGAAGTAGGGGAAGATACAGAGGGATGACAATCATACCAAGATATTGACGTATTTGGCCACTCTTGAGTTCATATCAGATTGTCCCCTTCTCCATTATGAGAGGTGCAGTTCCTTGAATCCCTCCGATGTTTGCATAGCCTTATTGCATATCAAAACGTATTTTCAGGGGCCCCTGGGTAGCTCAGTCGGTTAAGTGTCTGACTTGGGCTCAGGTCATGATCTCGCGTTCTGTGTGTTCCAGCCCCGGGTCGGGCTCTGTGCTGACAGCTCAGAGCCTGGAGCCCGCTTCAGATTCTGTGTCTCCTTCTCTCTCTGGCCCTCCCCCGTTCATCCTCTGTCTCTCTCTGTCTCAAAAATAAGTAAATGTTAAAAAAAAATTAAAAAAAAACGTATTTTCAGTAAGTCTTTTTCTTTGCACCTCAGTCCTTTCTGTTGCAGTTAGACATTTCAGTCTCTTGCCCTGTTCTTTATGGCCTCAAGACAAACCAGTCAGATAGAACTCTAGGAATAGCCTTTCTTAAAGCAATGATGAATTCAGAATCTCTTGACAATAGCTGTGTCTTGTTCTCACTCACAGCAGTAAAGCAGAAATGAAGAAGTGTGTGGATAAGTATGTGTGTGTGTATATATATATGTATATATATGTGTGTATATATATGTGTGTGTATATATGTGTGTGTATATATATATACATACATATATATTAGAGTGTCACCCTGTTCTTACATACCTAAAACCCTCACAGTGACCCCAGAAAACCTAGGAGATCAACAAACTCATCTAATTTCCAATCTCACCGGGGTTCTAGTACAGCTGGCACCATCCCAATCAAATTCTCTAATTCTGTCCTGTAATTTCATATGCAGGGAACTTAGAAGCCCATTAAACCATGAATCTCTGCTGCAGTATCCCCAGGTTTTGTTATCTTTTCTGGGGAAGAATCAGGAGACTGTCTTATTGAACAGCCTAATCAAATTTCTTCCTTTAACTCAAATCAGATACACATTTTTCTTCATCTTTATTGTCTCTTGGTGGCAGCTCGTTCCTATTGTATTGAAGGACTCCCCATATCACAACTGTTTCTCAATCCCAAGGAAGATGAATGAGGGGAAACCAATGAGACTGAGATCATTGAGGAGCCATTCCATCTCAGGTCTCGTGAGACACCACCTAACCTAGCTAACTGAGAAGTGGTCTTGGATAACTCTGAAGATAGTTCTTGATTTCAAAGTGGATGAAACTCAGTGCCTTCACCCTTGGATTACAGACTCAGGAAAAGCCAATATGTCTTTCAACTTGACTAATTAAATGAAGTTTCCTCTTCTGAGAGGCAGGTACCTAGTTATTTCAATGCACTCAGAGATGTGCAAAAGCATGAGAAATATCTGTGAGTATTGTAACCAATGCTTATTGAATTACAGAGACTGTATTATGTACTTTGCATGATTTTTCTCAATTCTCTGACAACCTTACAAAGTAAGAATTATCATCAATCCTATATTAGGAAACTGAGGAGAGAGGAATAAGACAATTAGCAAGTAACTGCAATCAGGCCAGATTTTGAACCCAGGCAGTCTGATTTAGTTTCTGATGTCTTACTTTCCAGACCACACAGAGAAGGTGACAATCCTAGGAAGTGAGTTGTACAAGAGATGTTTGGAGCATTTGAGGAAGACTTAGATTTGGAAACTAAATTTTATTTCCTTAGGAAAGCTCTCTCTCTGAGTAAGAACTGGTTATATACCTTTTCCTTATAGCATACATCAACATATCATTTCCACACATATATGGGAGGTTATTTGATCATGTCTTTTCATTAGCACTTCTCATTAGCTTCATATATCATGGAGCATGCATATTCTTACTCTTTGGTGTATATAAGACATCCAGATGAGGGCTTGGTACATAGCAGACAGTCAGTAATGTATTTTTTGAGAAAGTAATAAGATGAAAGAGCAGACTTAGAAGATATATTAACTTCATAAAGTTGAAAACCTAAGACACTGCAGAGGAATAACGCTTGTGTGATGTGGATTGTGTTTACAGACATTGACCTAAGGAAAGGATAAGTAGTCTCAGACTTGGAAGGTCTGAAATGGAAAATGGTTTCCTCAAGAGAGTATAGGCTTTCTGTCACTAGACTTGTACAAGCAACTTCTAAGTGACCACATTTCAGGATATTACATTTGGGAGCCAAGCATCATAGCATTATTAAATTATACATGCTTTGTAACTAATTTCTCAAATAGATGATAAGATTATATTCCTATGGTTTAAAAACCACAGGTATTTCCAGGATAGAAGTAAAAAAAATAAAATATTTATACCTTCTAAGATGGACTTTGAAATATTTATAGTCACTTGCCATTATAATTCGATTATTGAATTTTTAAGGGTACAAAAAATTACAATAGAATTGTGGTAAATTCTCTTTTATGGCTTAAAAATTTAGGCAAAATAACAATTTCATTAGTAATTAAAACTTATAATAACATCATAACCTATACAATTTATAGCTGTAGTAATTGTTAGCACGAAGTAATAAACTTGCAGTAGCATATGAGAAATGCATATTGCAATTAATAAAACAAACAAAATTAGTTGGTCTTTTAATAATACATGTGGATGTGAATAGGGGATTGAAGGAAGGATATTCTTTTTAATTATTACAAAACTTTTTTATCTTATCTTAGGTGTTTCCACATTCTAAAATTCTTTTGAGGTGAGAACAATTGGATGAAGTTAATGTTAATGTCCCTTCTAAAAAAGAGGGTCTTTGAGACTCGAATTCAATAAGGTAAGAATGATGACTTTGACTTCACCTACAAGGATCTCTCATGGTGAGATGTCTCCAGTGAAAGATGCCTCTTTTACTCTTTTCTCCTTACCTATTGGCATAATCTCAATCTATGGCCCAGTCACTGCCAGAAACCTTCCCTGATTTACCTCACCTGTAAACCCCTGGTCTCTGACTTGCTACTTCCCTTCCCATGGCATGCTTCACTTGGAGACTTAGGGGAACACATACTTGTGTGCTTCTGGTCTGACTGATCATATCAGAGCTCATACTGTAAAGCAGACAAAACAGACTAAGGCAATATATTTTATAATCCAACTAAATCACGTGGCCAATCAAGAAAAGAGATAAAAATTTATTATATAGATACATTAGGTTAGACTACATATGTACTGAAGAGCTAAATAAGATCATGTCTTGCAGTATATTGAGTGAAAAGAACATGATGGGGATCATAGATCTGGTGAGGGAAGATCTCGTCTGAGCCGTAAGGAAGACTTGCAAGAAGATATGCCATTCTTCAGACATGGTCACTTATAAAAGTCTGTTAAAAAAATTCATTGGCTGGGTTTAATCCTTTATCTATTTGCCTATCAAACATTATTTATTGGTCCTGTGTATATAAAGCATTAATGCTGGTTGTAGAGAAAAAAATGAGATGCAATTTTCATAGCGTAATGGGGCAAGAGACATACACATAATTATAGAACAGTTTATATTTCCTAAGGGAGGTATGCTGAAGATGTATGATGCCCTTAACACAGCAGCAAGGACCCTAGAAGGGCTTCAACATATCATGTTTTTTAAAAAATTTTTTCAATATTTATTTTTGAGAGAGAGAGACAGAGAGACAGAGCACAAGTGGGGAAGGCGCAGAGAGAGGGAGGGAGACATGGAATCCAAAGCAGGCTTCAGGCTCTGAGCTGTCAGCACAGAGCCCGATGTGGGGCTCGAACTCATTATCCGTGAGATCCTGACCTGAGCCGAAGTTGGACGCTTAAATGACTGAGCCATCCAGGGACCCCTCATGTGGGTTTTGAATGACTATTAGTAGCTTTCCAGGTGACCAATGGGAATAACTATTCTGTGCCCCCAAGAAAGCAGTGTATGAAAAAGCATGCAGATGTGATTAAGCATGCTTTTGGACATTTCGAAACACTCAGATATGGCTGGAACATGAAATACGTGATGGAGTGTGATGGTAAATAATATGAGATAGGTGAGCAAGAGCAAGAACAGAAGCAAGAAGAGCTTTGCACATCATATCAAGATCCTAGCAGGAAATGCAGCACACACCTACATTAGGACATCTCAAGACAGTGAAATATGTGGGCATTTTCAAAGATGTGGGCAAGTGTAGGGAAATCACAAAGTCTTGTGAAGGTCCTGGATTAGTGACCACGGGCACTATTACAGTCCTTTGTACTGAAGGGTTAAGAGGAGGACAGGGTTAGAAGAAGAAACCAGATCCAGAGGGAGATAAAGCCAGTTTGCAGCAACCCTGCTGGGAGGGAGCTAAAGGAAAAAAAAGTCCTGACCTGCCTTTAATCCTTTGTTGCTGTTTCCTATAGTCAAATCCAACCAGAAGTGAGAGAGCAGGGAAGTCTCTGGATGTAGTCCAGTGTCCCAGGACCAAGAATATGATGGAAAGTGGTGGAAGGTAGACCAGAGGAAGGTAATACAAGATATTCTGAACAGCATACACTAAGAAAGGTTATATTTGTATTATTGTTGATTATTTTCACATGATAGAATATTTCTACAGCAATGTAGAGGTTTCACTGGAAGATGCAAATTCTAGAAGTAGGCATATTAGTTACAGAGCTATTTTAATACCCCAGGAAAGAAATGAGAAAAGCATGAAGTGGAGTCGAATTGATAGGAATGAAAGAGAGGCAAGAAACTGAATGGATATGTGGGGGGAATAAATGACATCGAAGATGACTTGATTTCATTTTCTAACCACTTTTAGGAAGATAAAGCCTTGTGTTCTCTTCATCATTATGCTGTCCACATCTGTCATCAATAACACTGATCATCCTTCCACATTTATTCTACTTGGAATCCCTGGAATGCAAGATCAGCATGTGTGGGCTGCCATCCCCTTCTGCTCCATGTATATCCTTGCTCTGGTTGGCAATGGCACCATCCTCTACATCGTCATGACAAATAGAACTCTACATGAGCCAATGTACCTCTTCCTGTGCCTGCTTTCTATCACTGACCTGGTTCTTTGTTCGACCACATTGCCCAAAATGTTAACAATATTTTGGTTTAGGTCCCACATAATTTCCTACCATGGCTGCCTCACCCAGATGTTTTTTGTTCACACTATTTTTGCCACAGAGTCGGCTGTTCTACTGGCCATGGCTTTTGACCGCTATGTGGCTATCTGCCATCCACTTCATTATACATCCATCCTCAATGCCACAGTGATTGGGAAGATTGGTCTGGCATGTGTGGTCCGTGGCCTTCTCTTTGTTTTCCCCTTTGTCATCCTCATCAAACGTTTACCCTTCTGTGGACACCACATCATCCCCCACACTTACTGTGAGCACATGGGCATTGCCAAGCTCGCCTGTGCCAGCATCAAGCCCAACACCATTTATGGACTCACTGTGGCACTTTCAGTCACTGGCATGGATGTGGTCCTCATCACCACCTCCTACGGCTTGATCCTGCGGGCAGTGCTGCGCCTGCCCTCCAAGGATGCCCAATTCCGAGCATTTAGCACTTGTGGAGCCCATATTTGTGTGATTCTGGTTTTCTATGTACCTGCCTTCTTTTCATTTTTCACCCACCGCTTTGGCCACCAAGTACCTCCTCATGTCCACATTGTACTTGCAAATCTCTATCTCCTCGTGCCCCCTGTTCTTAACCCCCTGGTCTATGGCATCAATACCAAACAAATCCGCCTAAGAATATTTGGATTTTTTATGGGAAGGAGGTAGCTAGACTCTCTATATACCCCAAGGACCAATGGGAAAAGTTTTATAATTAATCTTTCATCTTCTCTAGTACATCTTATCTTTGGACTAGAGGTTTCTGTTTCTGCTAATTCTAGCAAACCAGTATCATGTATTATCTGAAAGTTTCTGAAGTATTTAGAACAACACATTTATACTTGCTCAATCTACAGAAGACTATTTTCCTGTAAGGCTATTATGTGGCTCACTAATTGGCCTGTAGGTTTTGAATCTTCCTAGGAAAAGGTCAGGAAGCATTGTAGTACTTTTGATAGTAAGAACCAGTAAATTACTCTATGTACAGAAAACTCAGGGCTGGAAAGAGGAAAAGTGATAAAAAAAGATCCACTTACTTATATCTTCAAGAAATTGAGAATCACACACACACACACACACACACACACACACACACCACTGATTGATTAATTGATTGATTGTCAGCACTTTCTTAGACCAAGAGTGTTTGTAATTAGAGTGTCAATGCGAGACCAAAGATGGCCATGGTAGCCCAGGTTCCTCTGTATCTGGCATCAGATTTAAACGGGGGCGCCTGGGTGGCACAGTCGGTTAGGCGTCCGACTTCAGCCAGGTCACGATCTCGCGGTCCGTGAGTTCGAGCCCCGCGTCAGGCTCTGGGCTGATGGCTGAGAGCCTAGAGCCTGTTTCCGATTCTGTGTCTCCCTCTCTCTCTGCCCCTCCCCCGTTCATGCTCTGTCTCTCTCTGTCCCAAAAATAAATAAAAACGTTGAAAAAAGAAAAAAAAATTTAAACAGATGGAGATGACTGCTATGTAAATTATTTTGTGGACTACTATGGAGAGGTAGCCTGACCTTTTGTTTAACCTCATTTAGTCAATAATGCTTTGGGTATATACGAATTCCCAGGACACAGAGTTTCCTGCTGATCCTCACCAGGGTAACCCAGGTTACTCAGGCTTGACAAGTATCTTTCTCCAAATAGCTGGCCTTCATGCCCTAGCACAGGCTTACCTTCCCTAGGAGCTGAGGTTTGTTACCTTTTTTTTAAGGTGCATTATAAATGAAAAATCTTGTGCACATCAAAATTTCCTCCAATGGCTAACTTTTGTGCAGCTTATATTAGAGCATTGAGCAAGGCTTCTCTACAGAATTTTGGATTAGTCAGGTTTTCCAGGGAAATAGGACTGATAGGAGGTAGATAGATGATAGATGATAACAGAGGTAGATAGATAGATACATAGATACATAGATAGATACATAGATGATAAAAGAGGAGATTTATTGTGGAATAAATTATGTACTAGGTATAATGGGCATTGAATTTCACAGGCGAATAAGGCACAGTGTGTGACTTTAGGAAACTCATGCTGTAGGGAGAGAAGAAGTTAAGTTAAAAAAAATTGGGGCACCTGGGTGATTCAGGCAGTTGAGCATCTGACTCTTGATCTCAGCTCAGATCTTGATCTCGGGGTCATAAGTTCAAGTCCTGTGTTAGGTTCTATGCTGGGCATGAAGTCTACTTAAAAAAAATTTGTTCCTACAATTTTAGAGACTGTGAAGTCCCACAATCTTCTGTCTGTAAAGTGGAGACCTGGGAAAGCCAGTGGTGTAATTCAGCCTGAGAATGAAGGCTTGAAAACCAAGGAGCCAATGGTGTGAGGGTCAGTATGAGATCTGAGACCTGAGAACTAGGGATGCTGATGTTCAAGGGAAGAAAACCGATGTCCAAACTCAAGCAAAGAGAGCAAATTCACCTTTTCTCTGACTTTTTGTTCTGTTCAGTCCCTCAATGGATTGGATGTTGCCCACCCACATTGGTGACTATTATCCTTACTTAGTCCACTGGTTCAAATGATAATCTCACCCCCACCTCTGAAACACTCTCGCAGACGTCCCACAGATAATGTTTTACTAGCTATTGAGGCATCCCTTATCCCAGTCAAGTTGACATATAAAATTAACCATCACAAATTCTTATTGGGTTTGTAAATTATGCTTGTGCTACATTATTTTTTAAAAGAATCAAGGGTATTAACTCCTTACTGGGTATATCATTTGCAAATATCTTCCCCTATTCAGCAAGTTGCCTTTTTGTTTTGTTGATGGTTTCCTTTGCTGTGCAGAAGATTTTGGATTGATGTCGTCTGTTGCCATGCGCTCAAGAAAAAGTTCTCAGACACCAGACTAAGCGGACATACAGGGCTGCCTCTGCAAGAGAGCAGCAGCAACGGGGGTCTGCACAGTCTTTATTTTATGTTGCATAAGATATAGATATCAAAGAATGTCAAAGCATGGAAAGAAAACACAAAGAGCCTCCAGATATCAACCAGACACACATCTGGTGTTTACGTGAAAGCGTGGAGGGAAGATGTGCAGTTTCAAAGACAACCAGGCAGGTCTGTTTCTTAACTGGCTCCCAGGGGATCATGGAGCTCTGTTCTCATAATGCTATCACATTCGACAGCCTTGAGACCAGAACATGGCTGATGTTTCAGCAATTACCCCATTCTCCTTCCCAGGGGCTTACAATACACTCTCTAGAAATAACTCCACAGAAGTCCCACTTTTTTTTTTTTTTTTTTTTTTTGCATTTGCTTCCCTTGACTGAGGAAACCTATCTAGAAAAATGTTTCTACTCTCTATGTCAGAGAAATTACTGATGTGATGGGGGACCATAAGGCAAGCTGAGGGCAAAATACAACCTAGCATACCCCCCATCCCAGGTGGGATATGTGTGGGATATGTGTGACATTCCTCAGGCACTCCTGGCTGCCCAAGGACAAAGGAAAGGACAGAAAATAAATGGTTAAACTGATAGAGTCTCCATCAGTTTACAAATATCTTAGTAAATTACAAGAAAAAGAAAATCTTATCAATAGTCTAATCTCCAAAAACCTATAGACTCTATTTCCTGGAGCCCCACATCACCTCTCCATAGTGATATGGGGAACAAAGGCAAGAAGGAAATGGCAGGTAAAATTAAATTTCCTTATAACCTGTAACCCATTGACAAATACTTGAGGCAAATACAGAGTTTAACAGTTCTCCAGGAACTCCCCACTGTCTTAATGTTAATGCTTTGCTAGAGGGAAAAACAAACTTAGCTTGATAATAGGCCTTCAGTAATCTGTGAGTCTTTAGCATATAAAAGCCTCTTTGGAAACTTCTCTCCAAGTCCAGAGTATATAACCAGTCATTCTGCACAACCCCAGTGCAGCTCTTCCTGCCCTAGGTCCTGTCCCTGTGTTTTAATAAAATCACCTTTTTGCACCAAAGATGTCTTCAAGAATTCTTTTTTGGCCATCAGTTCCAAAACCCATGAACCTCACCATCACCCCAAAACTTCATCATATGTGATCTTCTAGGAGTTTTATGGTTTCAGGTCTCCTATTTAGGTCTTTAAACCATCTTGAGTTTAGTTTGTATATGGTGTAAGAGGATGGTCCTAGTTTCATTCTTTTGCATGTAGCTATCCAGTTTTCCCAGCAACATTTGTTGAAGATACCATCTTTACCCATTGTATATTCTTGCTTCCATTGTTGTAGATTGGCCATATTGTAGAAGGATTCTCGCACAGAGGGACAGGACATTGCGGCCTTTCTTCCCAGGAAGCAGCTTTATTCACGCTAGCAGGGATTCAGTGGGCTAAAACTCAAAAGGCTGAGCGCTGAGCAGAGCAGGGTATAGGCTTTTATGCAATTTCTACTTCTTTGTCTCCCATATATGGTGACACATATAGTCTGATTGGATACAGTCCAAGTTACAGAGTTGTGTTAGAGTTATGCATATGTGTATAGGAGTTGATTGGGCCACTTTGCCTTTCTTTGTTCTGAGAAGGCCTCCATCACATTCCTTAGGGAGGGGCTCTACCTCTATCACAATATAATCATGGGTTTATTTCTGGACTCTCTCTTATGTTCTATTGATCCATGTGTCTGTTTTTGTGCCAGTACCATACTGTTTTGATTACTACAGATTTGTAATATATCTTGAAATCGGATTGTGATACCTCCAGCTTTTGTTCTTTTTAAAGATTGCTTTAGTGATTTAGGGTCTTTTGTAGTTGCATGCAAGTTTTAGGATTACTTATTCTAGTTCTGTGAAAAAAATGTTGGTGTTTGGATATGGATTGCATTAAATTGTAGAATGCTTGGGGTCTTATGGACAGTTTAACAATATTAATTCTTCTAACCCATGAGTATGGAATATTTTTCCATTTGTTTGTGTTATCAATTCCTTTCATCAATTTTTTTTTTAATTTTTTTTTTCAACGTTTATTTATTTTTGGGACAGAGAGAGACAGAGCATGAACGGGAGAGGGGCAGAGAGAGAGGGAGACACAGAATCGGAAACAGGCTCCATGCTCTGAGCCATCAGCCCAGAGCCTGACGCGGGGCTCGAACTCACGGACCGCGAGATCGTGACCTGGCTGAAGTCGGACGCTTAACCGACTGCGCCACCCAGGCGCCCCTTATAGTTTTCAGAGGAAAGGTCTTTCACTTCCTTGATTATGTAAAGAACTTATAGAGTTGTGAAAAGTAAGTGAGATGATTCTCAGAAATACCAAATAAAAGCTGTGCTATCTAGTTAACAATAGGTTTACAAACTATTGGAAATATGTATGAACCCCTCCTCTTCCCACAATGGAGTCCCAAACCTTTAGACACTTCACTTCCTGATTCTTCTTCCCCTCTCCTTTTTGTGGGCTTTGCAATGAGCATGCACCAAAGAACTGAAGCCTCTGTGTCACCTCAAGGAATGTATATTTGTTCCAATCAGACTACTTTTTGGCCATACATGGGCATAGGTGACTTCTGAGTAACACTGTAACCTCTGTAGTACTCGGCCAAAGAGGAATCAGGGGAGGGACTTCACGCTAGAAGATTAATTGCCTGCTGTAACCTTCCTGAGTGTGCCTTTCCATCAGACACCCACTCTTGCAAGAATGTTAATTAGAGCCTCGCTTCACTGTGCTCGGAGTTTCTTCATCCCTTCTTTCATTGGGCC